GTTATAATATAATACAGTATATTATGAAACTATAAACTATATATAATATACTTCTTAAAAAACTATAAAAAGGGACTTAATGATTTAAAATTTCAAAACATATATTTAAATTTGATTTTTTTTTTCAGACTGGTATTCTTCTTAAAGACTGACAAGTTTGTTGTTGAAAAAATGTTAAAGAAAATCATTTAAAGCAGTTAAATAAGGTAGTTGAGTTCTCTCTAAGGCAGTGGTTCCTAACCGTGCTCCCTGAGGAACACCATACTGCATGTTTTAGTTGTTCCTCTGCTCCAACACACCTGATTTGAATGAAAGCGTGATTAACAGGCTTCTGCCGAACATAAGGAAGTAATTTAAACCATTGAGTCAGGTGTGTCGGAGCAGGGAAACTGCAGACATACAGGACGGTGTTCCTCAAGGACCAATGTTGGGAACCACTGCAGTCTAAGGAAAATTAACTGTAATAAAATGCAAAGACCTTCCAAGGGTTAGATCTGTACATTTGAACCTGTTTTTATGAAAATACTTTAAATGCATCTGGAAATGCTCCTCTTGTTTTCCCGAGCATTCAAGAACACTTTGTTGATGTTTCTTTCTGCCAAAAGGTTTGTGCACCATGATTTCAGTGTCCTGGTACGCCTTCAATATCACCCAGGACTTCTTCGACCCCTTCTATCCTGGAACAAAGTGAGGTTTATTCCGAGCGCAATGAGGCTGGATTACGTTGTTTTAAATGAAACGTTAGCTGACGGTAACTCTGCTGTTTGTCAGATTTGAAATAGGGGAAGGACTCTACATCGGCTGGTGCTCTGCCGTGCTCGCCATCGCTGGAGGAGTCTGCCTCAGCTGCTCCTGCAAAATGGCCAAAAAAGAGAAATAGTGAGTTCAAGTTAAAGAAATGATCTCTTCCTGTGCAATAATCAGTGTCTTATGAACGGGGCTGGCAGAATGTGAAGCTACAGTTTGACTACTGACCCCACTTGTTGTTGATTAACTCCAATTAATCAGAGCTCAGCTCGTCTGATTCACGAAATAAGGACAAGTTTGTGTTGAGAGCCTGGCAGGAGGATTTGATATTGAGAACAAACCACAGACTCCCATCAAAGCTTTCTGTGGTTCTTTGAGTTTGAGAAACCCTTGTTGAACTCACGAGAGGAGTATAATAATTGAAAACACTGAAAACACCAGAACACCAGAGCAGTATTCTGACCTTGAGTTGGTGAATAAAGAAACATTTTAATAAGTGAATCTAACAGGGTGAGTGAGGCGGGTATAGTTGTAGGAACCACAGTGTGTTGTGTGCCTGAAAGAGTCAGAGTGAAGGGCCACCCAGTGGTCGGGTAAAATACACCATCACCATCTAATGATTCCACTAATATTCAAAACTAACCACGACTCGGGTGTTCAGCTGCTTTCAAATGGCAGACAAAACAAATTAAAGGTGATTATTAACACTTGTGCTTTTTACACTGCAAGTACTTTAGTTAAAAAATGGGCAAAATGTCGAGTTTTGTCAGGATATGCTGAAATAATACACAAGCCTGTGGTCAACATTGGGTACTAATATGAGGAAAATCCCTTTTAAAATGGAAAGGACATGACATGTCTGATTTTGTTGGTATCTAATTGACATAAAGTAAACCAAAGTGCAAACGCCAATTTATTATATTTTAAAAAAGAGAGGCTCATACATCCTTCATTGTGATTAAGAGAGGTAGCGGCCAGGTGGTAGTAATGAAATGCATGGATTAACCAATAATCTGCAGGTGCGACCTCCTCTGTAGACGCTTTAGTTTGCTGCTCTGAGTAAATCAGAAGCAAGAACCACCGTGAAACAAAACCTGAAGGGAAAATGACCAAAACAACAGGAAGAACACACAGGAAGATGGGTTCAATGAAGTCAAAGATGACTTGGAGGAATTCAGTTCAGTTCAGTTTATTTATATAGTCACAACAGAAGTTATCTCAGGGCACGGAACGCAAACATTTATTTAGCAATACATAAAATGTAAGTTAATAACGTTATTTATCTGAGGAGCAGACTGCTTTGAGTTTAACTCCATCGTAGAACTCTCATTTTGAGCAAGCATGAAGGCGACAGTCGAAAGGAAAAGCTCCCTCGTGAGGAGGAAACTTTTAGCAGAACCAGGCTCAGGACAAGCGGCCATCTGCTCCGATTGGCTGGGTTTGAGAAGAACAGATACACAATGGCAGGTCCAGAATCACAGAAATAGTATCAAATGAAAACTATTCAATTGTAACAATTCATTTAAGGAAATGAGGTCAGTTTGTCCTCCTGTAGTCTAAGCCTATAGCAGCATAACAACCCAACCCTAACTATAGGATTTATCAAACAGGAAAGTCTTAATCCCAGTCTTAAAACTGGACAATGTGTCAGCCTCACGGACAGAAACTGGAAGTTGGTTCCATAAGAGAGGAGCCCGAAAGCCAAAAGATCTTGCTCCCATTCTGCTTTTGGAAACTCTAGGAACCGTGAGTAAACCTGCAGTCTGAGAGCGAAGTGCTCTGTTAGGAAAATATGGAACAATAAGATCTATAATATAAGATGGAGCTAGGTTGTTGAGGGCTTTGTAGGTTAGAAGTAAGATTTTGAATTCTATTCTGGACTTGACAGGGAGCCAATGGAGAGAAGCTAAAACTGGAGAAATATGATCTCTCCTACTAACTCCACTTAAGACTCTGGCAGCAGCATTTTGGATCAACTGAAGCTGTTTTAAAGAAGTATTTGGACACACAGATAATAAACCATTGCAATAGTCCAGTCTAAACGTGACAAATGCATGGACCCATTTTTTCTGCATCATTTTTAGATAAGATGTTTCTAACTATAGTGATATTACGCAGGTGGAAGAAGATGGTTCTAGTAATGTTTTTAATGTGGGGGATAAAGATAAAAGACAAGTCCTGATCAAAAATAGCACCAAGATTTTTAACATTAGAGCTGGAGGACAGATTAATGCCATCCAAGGTGGGAGAAAGACTGAAAAATTTAAGATGCTCAGGTCCAAAAACTAACACCTCAGTCTTGTTTGAGTTTAAAAGCAGAAAATTTAGGGTCATCCAGGTTTTTATGTCTTTAAAACATGCTTGTTGTCTAAGTAGCTGATTGGATTCATTGGGTTTCATGGACAAATATAACTGTGTGTCATCAGCATAACAATGAAAATTTATCCCATGTGGTTTAATAACTTTACCTAATGGGAGCATATACAGTACAAGGCAAAGAGTACTGGTGCAAGCACTGAACCCTGAGGAACTCCATGACTAACCTTCGTGTATGAAGAAGATTCATTATTTACATTTACAAAATTTAATCTATCAGATAAATATGATTTAAGCCATTTTAGAGAAATGAGCAGAGGAAGGAGGAACAGAAGAGACGACAGATCAGTAACCGGACAAACTGGACTCAACAGCACATTATACACATCCAAAAACATAATACAGGTCAATGTGGATAGGGGGAAACCATAGAACATGTCATTTCTGTACATTAGAAATATGAGCAACATGGAAAAATCGACGAAACATTTAATATAATGACTATATTGCAAAAAGAAACAATTATAAGTATTCAAATTATTCTAAGTTGTTTTCAAACAAAGTTGGTAAATTTAACGTTAGCATGATCACATACATATTATAGACATTTGATCCGTAACATTTGGTGGCGGTAATGCACACATTCCGTTTTTTTTTTTTTTTGCTTTTCTCCTTAAAACTAACAAGAAGAAGATTTGCTGCTCTGAGGCGCACAGGACAGGTTTATTGTGATGGCAAGAGGGAGCCTAAAGAAGCAACTGTTGCATCCATTGATCTAAAAAGGGCCTGTGATCTAACCCTATCTGTGTCAATTATTTAATCATCCTGAAGATTTACGAGTTGAAAATGTTTAAGATGGCTGCCCGTTTTCTCAAGAAACAATTTGATGTTTACGGTTTTTGAAGTCAGACCTTAAAATGATCAGAGAAATGACACAAAACCCAAAAGCTGTAGTTCAGAGTTTTTGTACAAACTAAATGTTGAAATTCAGGACAAGATAATAACAAAAAGAGCAAAGGAATAAGGGTGGGACCTGTTTGAAACGTTGTCTCGATAAAACAAGAGTCCTTTCTTTCCAGAGAGGTGATCTCAGTAAAACTCAGGTTGACAAAGTGGAGTCTATATGAGACTGTAGAACAACATCTTTTGGACAGCTGAGACAAAAGTAGAGATGAAATTCATTGCTCCATATTCAGAGAAATCCAAAGACATCATATCGGCACAAACGCCTCCTACTAACTGTAAGGCACGATGGTGGAGGGCTGATGATGTGGGCTTGTTTTGCAGCCACAGGTCACCTTGACCTCCTCTGTCCACGGTACTCCAGAGACAAATGTGACACCATCTGTCCAACATCTGGAACATACAGTAGCCCCAGTTGAGTCATGCAATAAAAATGATTTCAAGCAAATAATCTACAATCTGTTCAGATTAGTTAAAGACACGTGAGATAAGACGTGTGTTGTTTTTCTTTCATCTTCCTTGTGTACATTTAAACTTTTTTCAGCTACTTTCAGCTGTTTTTCCAGCTGTTTTGTGCTCCTTTCAGATTCTTTGTACTAACTACAACATTTTTGTGCTTCTTCTAAGCTCTTTCTGCTAATTTCTGCTTGTTACGCTCCTTTTAGCTCCTTTCTTCAAGTTTCAGCTTTGTCTGCTATTTCAGCTCTTCTTTAGCTGTTTTATGATAATTTTAGCTTTTTAGCTAATTCCACATTTTTTGCACTAATTTCAATTTTGTTTTAGCCTAATTCAGTGAAAATGTGCTCTGTCCACTTCCTTTAAGCTTCTTTCTACTTTTCAGCTGCTTTTCAGCTGATTTTTGCGCATTTCAGGTTTTTTCAAATAGTTTCCACTTTTTTGTGCTCATTTCTGCTTCTTTCAGCCTTATTGGGTAAACCTATTCTTTATGCTTACTTCTGCTGATTTAACCTTGTTCTACCTTTTCAGCTACCTTAGCACTTTCTAGCTAATTTTGGCTGTTTTCAGATAAATTCAAGTTTTTCATGGTATTTTTTTGCTGCTTTCAACCTAAAGAACTTATTTCTGCTAATTTCAGCTTGTTATGCTCCTTTCAACTTATTTCTGCTAGTTTTAGTTTTTTCTGCTATTTCATCTATTTCAGCTTTGTTTTATGCTAATTTTAACCTTTTCAGCTAATTCCACCTTTTTTTTTTTAGCTCATTTCAGCTTTTTTCGCTTCCTTCTGGTAGTTTAAGCATTTTTCTGCCTTTGCATTTACTTTTTAGTTGTTTTTTTTAGTTGTTTTTTTTTGCTAATAGCAGCTTTTTAAAGCTAATTGTCTAATTCTTGTGGTAATTTCTGCTAATTTACATCTAATTTAGCAAAAATGTGTTCTTTCCGCTTTCTTCTACTAATTTAGCTAATTTCAGCTGTTTGTCAGCAAGTTCTTCAATAAGCCTTCACACTGCATTTTCACAGGAAAAGCAGATTCTCTCATTTGAGGTCACCGGCAAACTGGTTTGTCCACTGTAGGAGTGTACTGGTAGTGGGGAAAACAGTTTGTTTGTGACTCCTCAGACTGATGAAGCCCTTCGGATGGAGGGCGAAATGACTCAACAAAAAAAAAAAAAACTGTCCAGATGACCTGACTGAACATTGTTGGATTTTTTTTTACCTGGATTATTGAGCATGGACTTTGATGTTGTATTCTCCTAATTTAAAGACCTGGTTTGAACCAGATTTTCCTTTTTATGAACCTGATACAATATCAAAGGTACTTAAATTTGACTATCACTCTATGTAAACGACACCTTGATATTCTTTTTAAGGTAATTCATTTAAAGACATGTTTACCTGGGACTCATGTGTTACTCCGCCATCTTGTCTTTCAGTCCCGTGACATATCAATCCAGGGGGACGGCGTACTCTGGAGCCGCACCGAGCAGGAGCGCTGCCACCAGCACTTATGGACGAAACGCTTACGTCTGAGCGCCGTTCGATATTTATGACGCTGTCATCACCTCAGTTTGTGTTGGGGTATCCTTTACACTGAGCGTTTTGTTCACAGTTGTGGATACTTTAATGGTGCATCAGTTGTTTACTGTTGGAAGTGACCCAGCACCGCTGCACTGCAAATACATGCGTCAGGATGGGATGATTGAAATGACAGATACTGTAAACTTTGTACAAAGCTTCCCTGCTCGTCGCCGCACGAAAAGACAGACCTTTTTTATTGATTTGGTTTGTTTTTATTTGTATCTTTTTGCGTGGCTCAATTACATGAAGTCACACGTTTTCAAAGAAATTCAAAGATAAAGATCATAAACACAGACAGACGTTTTTGAAGTCAAAAGAGGAACAGTTCAGATATTATTTGTGTGATATTTTGTACAGTTTGTAAAGCATGTATTAGAGAAAGGAGGACGGGTTGTTTTTGTTTAAATTGTAATTCTTTGTACTACTGAACTCAATAAATGGACATTGAATGCTGCGTTATGACTTTTGATTTCTAACAAATGTTTTTGAAAACGCTTTTTCTGAGGCCACGGTCTTCAGCTGAACAGAAGTGGAATGCTCCTCCAGGGCCCTTTGCCTCAAATGGAAAAGGAACCTGGAGGAGCATTCCAGGAGCTGAGGAGTTCAAGTATTTTGTTTTTGAGTGATGAGAGGGTGGAGCGGGCGATGGAGCGATGGATCTGGGCCTCATTCGCAGTAATGAAGACGTCACTACGGTTTGTCTTGGTGAGAGGAAAAAAAAGTTGAGTTGTGAGACAAGACTCTCGAGATCCTGGATACAAGCAGCTGCATGAGCTTCCTCGGTAGAATGAATGGGTTCAGCCCTGGAGATCAGGTGAGGAGCAGGAGCACTATCATACTTTGTAATAAGTGTGTTGTTCTGGTCCAGTGTAGTGAGTTGAGTTGTAAGGAGGCAGCTGAGATGGTGTTGTAATCTGTCTTGGGTGGGGGGGCCGGATATCTGAATGGGCCGGCCAACCCTCTAGCACCGGATCCGTGGATCTAGGCCTCTCTCTCCCTCTCTCTCCCTCTATATATATATATATATATATATATATATATATATATATATATATATGTATATATACAGGTTTGTAAAGTTACACAGTCAAAAATTAACAGCAATATTTTGGTTTATTTAGCCTTTAATGGGCTATATGTACGCTACACTTCCGCTGTTACACCATATTCTGTGACCACCAAATATTGTGACCATATTATTCTTTGGAGGAAGGAGAGAACCAGCAGAAGCAGTTTGGCTCAAGTATTTAAAGTTTTTTTATAAGTTACATTGTAGTCACAATATATGATAAGTGCTACCATATGCTGTGACCATTTATATTTCCATAAAAGTCATGATAATAGTGGTCAGACATTAATTTTTATTTCTTAGAGGAAGTGGAGAGTCAGCAGAAACCATTTTGTCTATATTTCCATAATATAAAATCGCAGCATAGCAGCAGTTACTGGTTATTATAAGAATGGTGAGAAATGTGTGTTCTCTAATTACAGACCAATATCCTTGTTGCCACAGTTTTCAAAAATATTAGAGAAATGATTTGTAACCAGATTAGATCGATTCATAGATAAACAGAATATTTTACGTAATAGTCAATATGGGTTTAGAGCAAACGATTCAACATCACTGGCTCTCATGGAACTAATAGAAGAGATAAATGTTGTTGATCAAAAATAGTATTGTGTTTGCGTTTTTGTTGATTTAAAAAAGACCTTTTGACTATTGATCACACCATTCTCCTTGAAAAACTGAATAAATATGGCATTAGAGGATTAGTGCTACAGTGGGTATCCGGTTATTTGAATAATAGGAGACAGTTTGTACAGGTAAACAATGTAAGATCTGAATTTTGTGTTAATGGATATGGAGTCCCTCAAGGATCTGTGTTGGGACCAAAGTTGCTTATTTTGTATGTGAATGATCTGGTTGATGTGTCAGGGCTTTTGAAGTGTGTTTTATTTGCAGATGATACCACATTTTTTTGTTTGGGTGAAGATATTGAACGAATGTTAGAAAAGATACAGGCAGAATTCGTAAAAATACAAACTTGGTTCCAGCTTAGTAAGTTATTATTAAATTTGGAAAAAAAAAAAACTAGATTATATTTAGTAATAAAAATAAAATGATCTAAGCCTCATTTAAAATTGACAGTATTGATATTCATGGAGTTAATGAAATAACATTTTGGGGTGTCGTTATTGATGACATGGAAATCTCATGTAAATTACTTAAGAATAAAAATAGCAACATCAATTGCATTACCGAATAAAGTAAAAGAGTTTTTGAATGACAAAGCTTTGTATATATTGTATAATGTAATGATTGTTTCATATGTATTGAAGTTTGGGGAAAAGCATGCAAAACAATTACAAATCCTATTTTTATTTTAGAAAAAAGTGCTATAAGAATTATTAGTAGGAAGTGCTATGGTCACCCAACAAATATATTAACTCAGCAATTGAAATTATTAAAATTTTATGATTTGGTTGAATATTTTATTTTGCAAGTCGTGTATGAAGATAATAAAAAATGCAATTAAAATTTGTTAAAAAAAAGAGTCATTATAACCTTAAGGGAATGGAGATATTTGTCAAACCTCCATTTAGAACTAATCTGAAGGAGCTGTGTTGTAATTCAGGGATTAGGATTATGGAATTGCCTTGATATCACCATAAAAATTTCTAAAACAATTTATATGTTTAAAAAGATGATTAAATTAAAATCGTTTGGAAAGTATGATACCATGTGAAAGATGCCTGATGTTTTTTGTTTTCGCTTTGGGGATTGTTCAAACTTGAGTTGTTTATTTTATATTTTTTTTAATAAGGGGCAAATAATTTTCTTCTTCTTTCTGCACCCTTTTCATACAACATGTTTTCTTTTTGATGATTTTTTTGTTTGTTTGTTTTGTTTCTTTTAAATGAATGAATAAATAAAGAAAGTACTGGTCAGAATTTACTTTTTATTCTTTGGAGGAAGGAGAGAATCAGCAGAAACAGTTTGTTTCAACAAAGACCTAGTTTTGTTTGGCTCATTCTTTCATTTTCCTTTTGCGTTTGTTCTTATGTTGAAGATGGCACAAACAGAATTTGTGAAAATACAAAATTGGTTTCAACTAAACAAATTATCTTTAAATGTAGATAAAACAAATTATATGATTTTTAGTAACAACAAGAAAGTGCTTGATACTCCATTTAGAGTCGATGGAATTTAAATTAATAGAGTGAATGAGGTGAAATTTCTGGGTGTCATCATTGATGAAAAACTAACATGGAGATCTCACGTAAAAACCTTAAGAACTAAAATAGCTAAATCGATTGCAGTAATGTACAAAGTTAGAGAGTTATTCAATGATAAAGCAATGTTTCTATTGTATAATGCCATTATTGTTCCACATTTAATTTACTGTATTGAAGTTTGGGGTAAAGCATGTAAAACAATTACAAATCCAATTTTTATTTTACAGAAAAGAGCCATAAGAATTATTACCAGAAAAGATTATAACCATCCGTCAAATATATTGTTTCATCAGCTAAAGATATTAAAATTTTATGACTTGGTTGATTACAATATCTTACTGTTTATGTATGGGGCCAACAAAAACATACTACCTACTAACATTCAAGGGAAATTTGTTAAAAGAGAAAGTAATTATTATCTTAAGGGGATGGAGATGTTTGTGAAGCCGTGGTGTCGCACCAGTCTGAAGATGCGATCCACTATTTCTCAGGGTATTAGATTGTGGAATGATCTGGAGGTTGATATTACAAATGCCAAAACTATGTACATATTCAAGAAGATGATAAAATTTTTTTTTTTTTTTTAATATTAAGTATAATGTGAGTTCATAAAAATTGTTTACAGTTGATCTTATATTTTAGCTAAGTTTTTTTTTTTTATTATTTTTTATCTTTTTATTTTTTTTTATTAATTTATCTTGCTTTTGTATAGTAATTTTGTTTGGAATATATTTTGGGGACAAGGGGCAGATTTTATAAGAATTCATTCTTCTTCTGCTGCCTTTCATTTTATTTCTGTGATTGTATATCTTTTTTCTCTTCTTTAAATTGTATTATATTTGTTGTTTGGATGAAATGAAATGAATAAATAAAAAATACATACATACATCTTATAGATGTCCGGGTGTAAAAATGCAACAACGCATACAACAGCGCCCCCTATGGTCACAATATACGGTTGTCACAGAACATGTTAAAATAAATGTTAAAATGTAATGTTATTTTAGATCTTTATTTTATTATGTGCTAGTAAGACTCTCATACCCACAAGAAACACTTCTACATTTAATAACTAGAAGAGTAATTTGAAATAGAAGATTGGATTGATTATATCTTACAACGGCTTGCCACACTCTGTGTAGTATTACAATCTGGACAGTTCTGGAGTCATTACGTGGGAGCGGTTAAAATAGTCTCTCCAATGAGAGAACCCTACGTTATGAGACGAACCCGGAAGTTCGTCGTGTGGACCAACCACGGAAACGTAGACCTGATAGGGAGGGGACGACGAACCAGACCGATAGGTTTTTACAGTATTTACAACGAGTGCACAGTCACCGGTTTTATTTCACCAAGAAGTGGATTTACTTTAAAGTAAAGTCAGCTGTTGGCATTAAACGGCCGTCCAGGTGGAGGAACCTTTCTGCGACTCGACTCGTTTTCCGCACGGAACACTATCCGGACAGGACCGTAAATAAATGTACGGTGGTATCTCCGTTCCTTCGGTGTGTCAGAGCGGATTCAGCCACTTTCGATGACTAAAATAACCTCCGGCGGACTCAGAGCCGTGGAGTCAGTCTGTTTCGCAGCCGCAGAGTGAGTGGATCCGGGGATGGAGTGGTGTCGGCGGGCAGGAGGAGTCAGCGGGCTGCTGTGCTCCATGTCTCTGCTCTGTGTCCTCCTGGACATCCAGCTGGACGGTGAGACGTTTAAAAACACTAATAAACACAAAAACAACGACTAGTTCCTAAGTCAGAAAGTTAACCTCGATATCACGGAATAAACTCTAGATAATTTCGCTCTGAGACTTTGCCCCTGTTTGTGTTTTAAATTTAAAATGCAAATTAAAAGTGTTGGAACATTTAGTCTAATTTTAGTGTTCAGGCCGGTACGGTGGCTCCAAGGTGTAAACACGAAAAAGGAATAAACACACACAAGACATGTCATTAACACCTCATGGCTACCAGGTTTTTGTAAAGTCATAATTATTGCAACTTAATATCGCATAAATATTAATATGAATGTTTGGAACTTGTTGAAGTGCGCATGCGCAGCTTTGAGCAACGACAGCTAATTAAAAACCAAATATTAGATTTATTAAGATGTAGAAAAGCGATTTATTTTCAAGAATACCCCATTTTTTTTGGTTCATATAGTTAATTTACACATCAAACCGTTTGTGCACCTTTACATGAAGGTGTTATTTAAGAAGCTTTTTCATACTGAAATTGTTTAAAATAAATGTTTTTCATCCATCCATTATCTTTACCCGTTTATTCCATTTTGGGTCACGGGGGTCGCTGGTGCCCATGTCCAGCAATCACTGTGCGAGGGGCGGGGTACACCCTGGACAGGTCGCAAGTCCATCACAGGGCCACATAGAGACACACGAGACAAACAACCATTCACTCTCTCACTCACACCTAGGGACAATTTAGAGTTACCAATCAGCCTAATATGCATATTTTTGGTCTGTGGGAGGAAACCGGAGTACCCGGAGAAAACCCACGCATGCACGGAGAGAACATGCAAACTCCACCCAGAAGGCCCCTGGACCATAAATGTTTTTCATTTCAGCAAATGTGAAAAATGTGTATTTTAAGTCAAGATTTTAAGATCATGTAGTCAATGTGATTTTGAGAGTTATGCTGACAAGCTTTACATTTTCAGGAATCATTTTACATTTACGGTGGCGCAGTTGGTAGAGCTGTTGCCTCTCGGTGAGGTTGCCGGTTCAAATCCCAGCCCGCGACCTTTCTGGGTGGAGTGTGCATGTACTCTCTCTGCATGCGTGGGTTTTCTTCAGCTAGTCCGGTTTCCTCCCACAGTCCAAAAACATGCATATTAGGCTGATTGGTAACTCTGAATTGTCCCTAGGTGTGAGTGAGAGTGAATGGTTTGTCTCTATGTGTCTCTGTGATGGACTGGAGACCTGTCCAGGGTGTCCCCCACCTCTCGCCTAGTGATAGTTGGACATTGTCACCAGTGACCCCCCCACGACCCAAAAAGGAAGAAGCGGGTAAAGATAATGGATGGAAACTCTTAGTAACTTTTTGTTATTGTTGTTGTTGATACTCTTTTAACAATATTATTCCTTTTTATAGTTGGGTGCAATTTGGAGTTAACTTAAATACTTATTTTGTTGTTAATTAGGCTATTGAAGTCAAAGCTAAGTGTATACTTGTTAAACACCACAACCTTTTGTCACGCTACAACAACCACAACTTTCTAAAGCATCTTACTGGGATTTTATGTGATTGACCAGCACAAAGTAGTGCCCAATTATGAAGAAGAAGAAACATGATACATTTAAAAAAAACTTCTAAAAATGAGAAAAGTGTGACGGGTATTTGTTTTCAGCCTCTTCACTCTAGTGATCAAACTGCATCATGAAGACCAAGGAACACGGCAAACAAGTCGCCAGTAAAGTTTTTGATGTTTAAAGCAGGATTGCGATAAATCGCAGACTCAAACCGCATGACAATAATATTATAGGCCAATCAGACAAACCCTCACTGCCCTTCATTCCCACAATTCTCCATCTTCTACCGCTTATCTGTTGTCGGAGGAGCAGCGGCTCTACTCTGAGCTCCCTCCAGATGACCACAGTTCCCTCCGTTCCTTCCACAGTTCTATTCAGTTTATTTATAAAGTGCAAGTTCACAACAAACTTCACCTCAGGAAACTGTACACTGTTCATATAAAATGCTAATGAAAGTTATTAATCTGAAGAATTAATGCGGTGAAGCTCCACTTCATCGCAGTCTCCCATCTTGAGCAGCACACAGGCGACAGTGGAAAGGAAGAACTCCCTTTTTAGCAGGAAGAAACCTCCAGCAGAAGCGGGTTCAGGATGGGCATCCATCTGCTTTGACTGTCTGGGGAAAGAGACACGGACAAACACAGAATAACTGGATCAGCTGTAGTTTCTATAGGAAGAAAGATAAAACCACATTTAATGATTTAAATATTTACAAATACAAACACGGGCTGCCGGTTGTAGAGGGGCTGAAGCACGTGGAGAGTGTTGGAACATCATGTGGTCAGGACAGAAGGAGAGGAGTGAGAAAAATGCAGAATATTGTGTCGCATTAAGTCGATTCAGTTTATTTCTATAGCACCAAGTCACAACAGAACTCATCTCAGGGCACTGAACAGAAACATTCATATATAAAATAATAATTTAACATTAATTATCAGAGGAGGAGACTGCTTTGAGTTTAACTCCATCACAGAGTCTCATCTTGAGCAAGCGTGAAGGCGACAGTGGAAAGGAGAAACTCCCTCATGAGGAAGAAACCTATAGCAGAACCAGCTCAGGACAAGAGGCCATCTGCTTTGACCGGCTGGGTTCGAGAGGAACAGGAAGGAGGAACAGATACACAATGGCAGGTTGAGAATCACATGTTAAGATAGAAATAATATCAAATGAAAACTACTCATTTGTAACAATTAATTTAAAGAAATGTCGTCAGTTTGTCCTCCAGTAGTCTAAGCATATGGCAGCATAACAAGCCAACCCTAACTATAGGATTTATTAAAAAGGAAAGTCTTAAAACTGAACAACATGTCAGCCTCATGGGCAGAAACTGGAAGTTGGTTCCACAAGAGAGGAGCCTGAGAACTGGAAGATCTTCCTTCCATTCTGCTTTTGGAAGCTCTAGGAACTGCAAGTAAGCCTGCAGTCTGAGAGCAAAGTGCTCTGTTAGGACAATATGGAACAATAAGATCTGTAATATAAGATGGAGCTAGGTTGTTGAGGGCTTTGTAGGTTAGTAGTAGTCCTGAATCATCTCAGCAGCTGCTGTTTTAAATTTGACTTTAGAACCAAGCAAGAAAAAATAAAAGACCTGTGTTTTTTCTGATGAGGCTCAGTTTTGTGTTACAGGCGTCCTCGGGGCGACTCAAGCCGAGATCGAGCACCACTTGGAGATGGGCCGCAAACTTTTGGCAGCTGGTCAGCTGGCTGAAGCCTTGTCCCACTACCACTCAGCTGTGGGTAAGACACCACACAGGCTCTGATAATCCGTTTTCTCTTACGTGCTGCAAAATAACCTCACCCTGACTGTAGTTGGACCCCTCTGTAAAGAATGAGATCTAGTGTCTCTGACATTTTCCAGAGGGAGACTCTAAGAACTACCTGACCTACTACAAACGAGCTGCAGTGTTCCTGGCAATGGGAAAAGCCAGATCTGCTCTGCCTGATCTGACCCGAGCCATCCAGCTGAAGCCAGACTTCCTGCCTGTAAGACGTTTGCTGAACTCGCTAAAGATCAAAACTCTTGAAAGCGTTTGTTCTTAACTTCTTTTTTCACCCCGTTGCATCTCGTTTTGTATTTTCAGGCCCGGTTGCAGAGAGGAAACATCCTCTTGAAGCAGGGAAACACACAAGAGGCCAGAGAGGACTTTGAAACAGTGGTAAGCTCTGATTTTGTTTTTTGTTTTTTTACAGGAGAAACATTTGATTTTTGACAGATCTTTAATTTTATTCTGAGTTCAAAAGATACATATTTGGATTTCTAAAAAGAAGTTGCTCAAACTGCACAGTGTTTTATTAAATAGACTTTATATAAAATGTCTATAAAGCCACCGTGATGCTAAAGTTTGAGTCAAACACCACATCCAGGCGTTACAGGTCAAGTTTTATAAATCTTGACAGCTGAACAGAGATGTAAACTTTTTTTCTTTTACATTTTGTTAATTTTTACAGCTTCAATAAAAACCCAGTGTGCCTGTAAGGTTGTAGTTGATCTAAATGAGTTCAACACATTCACTAGAACTACAGTCGTCTTGTAAATGTATTAACCTTTATTTAACCAGACAAATCCCACTGAGATCACAGATCTCTTTTGCAAGGGAGGCCTGGGCCTGAAGGCAGACCAACATGCATGTTTTTGGTCTGTGGGAGAAAACTGGAGTACCCGGAGAAAACCCACGCATGCACGAGAAGAACATGCAAACTCCACACAAAGACCCCAGGTCCAACCGGGGATTGAACCCAAGACCTTCTTGCTGTGAGGCAACAGTGCTAACCACTGATCCGTCGTGCTGCCAAATGTTTGACAGGATGCAGTGAGGCACTCGTAGTATTTTATTTTTGTCAACTGGGGGATGGACGGGACGGCGTCACATCTGTGTTGCCAGCCTGCTAGCTTAGCGCTACGTTGCTGCCGGTTTTTGTCAATGGGGGGGGATGCGGAGCGGAATGTCAGTAGCATTTTTGCTAGCACATTTGTATTGCGCCCCGACAGTGTGTGGCGCCCCACTTGTATGATGGTAGGGGAAACTCTGAGATGAGAACATGCGTACTAAACGTAGCATTTGTAACTATTTGATTACAAATCTGACGACTTTTTATAGTAAGTGATTTGTGCTGAGGTCCCGTTTACTTCAGTGATTTTGTTACATCAATTTCTAAAGTAAAAAAAATTTTTTTAACTCTGATTTTGCTGTAAATACGTGAACATAAATTACATAAAAATAAAGATATATCTGCACATTTTGTGTGTGCCCAGTATCACTCAGCAGCCGTAGAAACTACAACAACAATGGAGATGTATTTACAGGTTTTCCTTCATCTGGCTGTACAGAAGTCCCTCACTTATCACGGGGGTTACGTTCCAGACACCCCCGCGATACGTGAAAATCCGCTAAGTAGGGACGTTATATTTATTTTAATATTTATATATATATTAAGGCTTTATAAACCCTTCCCACACTCTTGCAATGTTCTAAATACGCTAAATGCTCTAAGAGCACAGCGAAAGAGAGCAGACAGACTGACGCTACGGTTAATGAGCCGGTCCCGGGAGCGGACTGGCCATCTGTTCGGGTCGCGCTTGATTATTTTAAATAAACAATCCATGCCGCTCACTCTGGTATCCGCCTCATTGAAGCTCCCACAGCAGCAATGGGGAAAGACAGACCCCAACCCACCCCGTCCTTTCGCTTTCTGAGGCTGACGGCAATCACAAAGCGGGCCAGGCCACCGGGAAACAATCTTACGTTGAAAATCCGCAAAAGAGTGAGCCCGCAAAAGTCGAACCACAAAGTATCACGGGACTTCTGTATCCTCATTAGACAAATACTTTTTTAAATTAAAAAAAAAAAGTGAAAGGAGAAAAACATTTCTGTTGGGGGGTGGGGGGGCGGGTGTCCAGATGTGGCCCGAGATGTAATATCTGCACTGTTTCCCCTAGGTCACTTTCCTTGGTAGGGCACTCATCTATTCGGGGGGCGGAGGTTGTGGAGATGGAGTCATGTCTGTGTTGCGTGCTAGCTTAATGCTACATTATGCCAGCAGTTGTTGACGGAGAGGGTTGTGTGAGGACATTTAAGGACATTTCGGTAGGCAGGGCGTCCTCCTTGGGTAACACTGTGTAGCGGAAACACTGATCTGGACGAAACAGCTGAGGAACTCTTCAAAAGTCCTGTGGTTTTTAAATTAAGAATGTTTAGGAACGTTACAGAGTAATGCATGCCCTGAAAGGAGAAACTTTTTCAGCTGCAGCGCTATTCAGACCACAAAGAAGCCGAAGAGCAGCTGATGAAGGTGAACGAGCTGGAGGAGCTGCAGGAGGAGGCCCACGCCACGTACCACCAGGGGGACTACAGCGCCACAGCCTCCATGCTGGAGAGGGTTGTAGAGGTAGGTGGAGTCAGACGTCTGGTTGTGTTCAAAGATCAAAAGTGTTGAAGTCACTCGGTACGAAGGAACTTTATTTCTGCTGTTTGTCCGTCTCAGATATCTCCGTGGGATCCGGAGACACGGGAGCTGCGCGCCGAGTGTTTCATTCGAATGGGAGACCCGCAGAAAGCCATCCTGGATCTCACGCCGGCCGCGAGGCTGCGGAACGACAACCGCGCCGTCTTCCTGAAGCTCAGCCTGCTGCAGTACAGCCTCGGAGAGCACCACGAGTCACTCAAGTAAGCGTCACGCCGACGGCAGGTCCGTGCAAACGAAGGCTCGTCCGTCTTTAGAGGCCGAGTGGGTTTAGCCTCGTTTGTTTCTGTGCAGCCACATCAGAGAGTGTTTGAAGCTCGACCAGGACGACAAGGACTGCTTCAGCCACTACAAGCAGGTGAAGAAGCTCAGCAAGCAGCTGGACTCTGCAGAGGAGCTGATTCAGCAGGAGAGGTCAGTGAGTTTCAGGCTGAACGGAGGTCATGACGATCAGACCACGTGGAGATTCTAACTACCGTATCGTGTGAATGTTTCAGTTCCACAATTTTTGTGCTCTTTCAACAAATCATAAATCAAAACGTTCAGCTCGTTAAGGATGTTCCTGCTCTGACTTTTGGTATTGGTGGCACTTTAGCTTTTTGACATATTTAGCCTTTTTTGCCATTTTTTTTCCTCATAGAAAATGAATTGAGCTCATTTTACATCCTTCAGATCTTTAGATGTGTTTACAACCTTTTACTGCTCCTTTCACATTTTACTCTGCTTCAGCTTCTTTCAGCTCTTTGTGCAAATTTAAACTTTTTTCAGCTACTTTCAGCTGTGTTGTGCTCCTTTCAGATTCTTTCTGCTAACTACAACATTTTTGTGCTTCTTTTAACTTATTTCTGCTCCTTTCAATTAATTTCTGCAAGTTTCAGCTTTTTCTGGTATTTCAGCTACTATTTAGCTGTTTTTTTTGCTAATTTAAGCTTTTTATATCTAATTCCACATTTTTTTGCACTAGTTTCAAGGTTTTTCAGCTAAATTCAGCAAAAATGTGCTCTCTCCACTTCCTTCTTATAATTTAAGCTTCTTTCTGCTGTTTTACCTATTGTTCAACTGTTTTCTGCTGATATTAGCTGTTTTCAGATAATTTCCACGTGTTTTGTTCATTTCTGCTTCTTTCAGCCTAATAGGGCAAACTTGTGTTCTTTCTACTTTCTTCTGCTAATTTAAGCTTGTTTGAACTCTTCAGCTACTTTTAAAGCATTTTTTTTTATCTAATTACAGCTGTTTTCAGACAAATTCAAATTTTTCATGTTAATTTCTGCTACTTCCAACCTAAGTAGCTTCTTTCTGATTATTCCAGCTTGTTCTGCTCCTTTCATGTTTTTTCTTCTAGTTTCAGCTTTTTCTGCTATTTCAGCTACTTTTAGCAGTTTTTATACAAATTTTAGTTTTTTCATCTATTTCCACATTTTTTTAGCTCATTGCACTACTTTCCGCTTCCGTCTGATGGGTTAATAAGCTTCTTCCAGCCTTTTCAGCTTTTTTTTTTCAAATTTTTTTTTTTACTAATTTCAGCTTTTGTAGCTAATTTTCTAATTTTTGTGCTCATTTCTGCTTATTTAAACCTAATTCAGCAAATATGTGTTCTGTCTGCTTTCTTCTGCTAACTGTTCTTCCATTTCAGCTACATTTCAGCATGTTTTCAGCTGATTTCAGCTGTTTTTCAACAAGTTCTTCAGCAATAAGCACTGCATTTTCACAGTAAATGCAGTTTCTCTACGTTTTGAATTTTAAGTGAATTAAATTTTCTGCTGACACAGCAGCATGAAGCAAAGTTCTTTTCTTGTGCTGATGTTTCAGTTTTTGCCTTGTGGAGGTGAAGGGATTGTTTAAGGTGCTGGTTCTGAAATGTTTCAGCTTCCAACTCGATAAAACAACGGCAGAGACTTGCAACCTCAACTAGCTGGTTCAAGGTTTTGAACCATGTTTTTAACTTAAATTTCAGGGTTCACCCGCCCAACTTTGGAAATCAGACAGAACTCGGGGGGGATTTGAACTCTGGGTTGCCGAGTTAGATGATCTTTCTAAGATTTATTAGTTTTTTATTTTATCAGTCTTTTTTTTTAATTAAATTTGTTTTTTGAACGCATAAAACATAAACATGCAACAAATTCCCCTCCTATACTGGATCAGGCTGCCAAGTGTCCCAAAATCTCTCAACAGATCCCATCTTTCAGAGATTTTAACGTGTTCCTTTATTAGTATTCTAGAATCATTGAGTCCGTGTACATGTACTGGATGGCTCTAGTGTTTTTGTTTTTTTTTTATTTTTTTTTTAAAATCAAAAACAGAAAACTTCCTTTCATCTCTAACTGCGACTCTGATGCCGGCTGCAGTGGTTGCATTAATTATTTAAACGTGTCCACTTTAACTAAACTTTGAATATTCAAAAACTCCTGCCCGTCCTGCACAACGTATGTGCGTGACAATCAAAAGTCCTGTGTTTTGTTTTTTTCTCAGTCGGTTAACGCACCGTGGCTAAAGGCTAGTTTGTGTTAGCACTTTTATTTATGCACTTTCTCTGTGAGGCGGCCTGGAGGATGGTGTCTGCAGATGTGACCGAGCGAGGAAACTTTGTATTTGAATGTTGTTTTTTTAATAGAAAGGGTTACCTGTAAACATTCAATACAGTCAGATTTGTAATTCATCAAGAAAGTAGAAAAATATGTTTTTGTATGCGCGATATTATCGACATGGTATCGGACAATATTAGCGATAAAGTTAAATATCGGCCATTCCATCAAAATAACTCACCAATATATAAGGTGCTGTTTTTGTATGTCAACCCAGTGACAAGGATGCCTGCAGCGCCAGCACAACGTGATGACGTTACGTGCGCTGTTGAGTTTAGATTTGTGAAAATTTACAAATTTGCACTGTTCGAGTGTCGTCATTCTGTTCGAGAGAGTAGATGTCATGAATAAAATTGACATTAAACATAATCCAAGTTGAAGTGTTACATCATTTTCAGTCCCCTTTTTGGCATCTGCACTTGGTAGCAGGCCAAACTGACAAAGACCTGCAGAATAATGTAGTATTTTAATTCCACAGCAGAGAAAGCGATGTAGTCTCTGTAAATAGGTCTAGGGAAATAAAGATCGGTATTGGTATCGGTAATCTGACAAATAAGTTGTAACATATCGGCATATTGAGTATCGGTCAAAAATCCAATATCGTGCATCCCTAGTTTTTGTAGTTCTTGAAGAGAAATAGGAATTGGCTCAAGTTGGAACTCTCAGGTCAGAACTTTACAAAAATCAGTGCTTTTTTTAAACGTGAACGTTTGCATGAGGAGCAGCACATTAATCCTCCCGTGCTCTCAGTGACTGACAGGTTTGCTTTAATGACCCTCCTCAACATTTGGAGCGCGCGTCAGGCTGTTGTTGAACTCCATCTTTGGATTGCTGTAATAAAAGCTGGTGCGGTGTCGGAGTACACGGACAAATAAACTTGTTCAACAAGTTGTTGGCACGTTGCCGAGTTCTCAGTTTGGACACAAAGTCGCGAGGAGCTGAGCGCAGCGCAACATTTAAGGCCAGTTTAGGATTGTAAGAGAACATAAACGTTTTTCATTTGATCGACGACCTTCAGAAGCGTTTGTGTTGCTAACTGGGATCATTCAGCTGCTGATTACTCAGGATTAAAACTGTTTTATGCAGAAGTTTGTCCAATAGAACCCACAGTGTCTCTTTATATAAACTATTTAATGTGACCGTTAACATTGGAAATAATGTCAGATTAAAAAAAAAAACTTCTGTCCCTTAAAACGTTTGTGTTTCACTCCTGAAAAGTTGATGTTTGACGTTCAGAACGTTTCCTTCACACCAACAACTTTGTCTAAAAACTCTAAGAATCATGGAAAACAAAGCGTAAATATACGACCTCTAGAATAACTAAAGAAACTGCATTGCACTGTTAATGCTGAAGAACTTGCTGAAAAACAGCTGAAATTAGCTAAAAACATGCTGAAATGGAGCTGAAATGGAGGAACAAGCCTAGGTAAGCAGAAGAAAGCAGGAAATACACACATTTGCTGAAGCTGGTTTAAATAAGCACAAATAGGACAAAAAAATGAGTAAGTTAGCTAAAAAAGCTGAAATTAGCAACAAAAAAAAAAAGCCCTGAAAAGTAGCTGAAAGGCAGAAAGAAGCTTAAATTACCAGAAGGACGTGAAAGGAGCTGAAATGTGCTAAAAAATGTGGAATTAACTGAAAAAGCTAAAATTAGCACAAAACAGCTAAATAGTAGCTGAATTAGCAGAAAAAGCTGAAACTAGCAGAAATAAGTTAATTAGGCTGAAAGTGACAGAGATTACCATGAAAAACTTGCATTTATCTGAAAACAACTGAAATTAGCTAAAAATGCTCAACTATCTGAAAAGGTAGAACAAGCTTAAATTAGCAGAAGAAAGGAAACATGTTTGTCCAATTAGGCTGAAAGAAGCAGAAATGAGCACAAAAAAGTGAAAATTATCTGAAAAGCGTTCGAATTGGCAAAAATAGTTGAAAAGTAGCTAAAAAGCATAAAGAAGTTAAATTAACAGAAAGAAGCGGAGAGAGCACATTTGTGCTGAATTAGGCTGAAAAAAGTTTAAATGAGTGCAAAAATGTGGAATTGGCTGAAAAAGCTCAAATTAGCATTAGCATAAAAACAGCTAAATAGCAGCTGAAAAGCAGAAATAGTTGAAACTTGCAGAAATGAGCTGAAATAAGTTGGAAGAAG